GTTAACCAAGTTAACTGCAGAACAACATGAACGACTCCTCTGGTGGAAGATGACTGCACTACCTCCTTTAATAGCACATCCTTTAGTACCCACCACCTCCTCACAGTAACAGGAGGTGAGCCACAGTTCCAGAGGCTCCCTCGTTGCCAGAGTTGTGATAGTTTGAGAACCCTGTAAGATCTCAGGAGAATCTTTTAAGAATCGTTTTAGTATCTGAGAAGTCTGCTTAACCTCTTATTTATCAGGATGTGAAGAACGGAAATACTGGGATTTCAGAGCAGGATAGATCTATGTGGATAGAGACAATTGCGGAGACTGTGTGTAGTTACAGTCAAAATGCTAACTCGGGCTACAGCAACAAAAATTACTCTGCTGTACCTAAGGGAAACTATACAAACTCAGTGTCTAATCTACTGGGTGAAGAAACAACTTCTAACTGTTCCTTGTTAGAAAATAAAGATGGCTGTATTTGTTACTTACTTTGAGTGTTTGCATTGTTCCACCTCGGAAAGCAACAGGGGACAACAAAGTTGGTGGAAGCCCTGCCTGTGGGCCTGCAACAGCCACTAAGCTCCTGCAGTTTATCAAGAAGTTCAGCAAGGTGAATGTGTTTGTTCCTTTCACTAATGCAAGGGATTCGGGTTTGTGATCCATCTGCACCTCATGCTTCTCCTTACGGCTGTATTGACTGGAGTCAAAGGAAAACCATGAGAAAGGGAGAAGCATCAATGCACCAAAGGAAGAACTGGAGCAGTGCAACTCCAGGAGAACCCCCACGACCTCCCTCCAGCCAATCAAGTCATTTCAACAAAACCAAAAATCCCCACCGAGCTTTACACTGATTCAGATTTGTTCTTCAAATATTAGACAGCATCTTAAACCTGACTTCTGATTTCATTATTAAAAACCTCAGGTGCCAGAGGAAGACAGAGTTAGTCGATGCCTCTGAAACATGTATGGGTTCTTGGCAACAGCTGTTCTGGTCTACAGCTGTGTCCCTCCTATGCCATGCTACTTCTGAGTGTAAACCTAGCCTACATGAACATATACCCTTTTCTTTAAAAAAAAAATTAAAAGTTATCTGATGAGTCTTTCCAGTGAACCTGTATGTGAGGTGACATAATCAGTTTGTGACCTAACAATGGATCTTACAAAGTTACATTAACAATTCACAATGACTTTTCCTTCAAGAAGAAAAGCATCTAGAAATACTTGTCATAAAGAAACTCAAAATGACATGCAGAGCCTTTTAATATGTAGTAATGTGAGGATTAATATTTGGAAACAAGTTCTCAAAAGCTTTTATAAAACTTAAATCTATACACAAAGAGAGAACATCTGCAGGGTCTTCCAGTGTCATGGTGTGCAAGGAAAGGATACAGTTTAATAGAAATAGCATCTGGTTTCTTAACCTTGTCTTGGACTCCCATCTCTTCAAGCCAAGAGAAACTTTCGTCGTCATCATCGCTTGGAGTTTGTTCCCTGGGAAACACAGAATCAGTGTTAGGAGGGCAGTACTTCCTACAAAGGTTTTCCACATGGAATGTGCAGGGGTCTCTAGCATTGTGTACGGCGTATTACATACTCTCCGTCTTCCAGGCTGTTGCCCACTTCGAGGCTGTTAGCCACTTCTGTTTCCAAATTCACTTCAGAGTTTTTCTGTTTCCTGGTTCTACTTTCTTCTACCAAGGGTAAAGAAAACTCTATGCCTTGAACAGGGGAGAAAAGTAAGCAATGAATGGTTTTGTAACAAAGCCAATGCACTTTATCAGTTACTGAAATCCTAGTTGGACTGGTTTCATCCTACCTTCATTTCTCATGGCTTCCCTTAAACCTCTGGTTGTGGGAGAAATTACAGCTGTGATAACATCGCTTCCCGCAAGACCAGCTGCACGGAACAGGACAGTAAACTGGTAGGTACATACGTAGAAGTAGGGACACAGTTTGGCTTTGAGCAGATTGTACAGAGAAGTAAAGCTGACAGACCTGCAAATTAGAATAAAACAATTCTGTTACTGAAGTTAATTCTCTGCTGTTGACACATCAAACTGGATTTGGCTGGGGGTTGGCGATGTGTGTACTCTGCACGGGTTTGAGAGCATACTGGATGACTAGCCAGATTTTCAGACACGCTCAACATCTAGGAAGCCACATTCCTCTGAAACGCAGCCTGTTTGTGAGTGCTGTGCTCTTCCAGCACACTTGCTTTCTAGCACTTGGGTTTATGTGCAGCATCAAAGGCACCCTGCTAACAGGATTTATGGAATTCTGCCCAAATCAACAACTAGGATTGGAGAGGGGCGTTTAACACAAGAAGGTAGCTTTAGTCTTATCTTTCCTTAACCTGGTCCTCAAAATAATGAGCATTCTAGCTGAAAAAAAATTAATAAAAAATTAAAAAGCTTTCTCATAAACCTAGAAAGAACTTGTGCATTAATTTAAATCCCCTTGTCTTAATCTTACTAAATACGTTAGTTGTTTGGTTCCACTTACCAGTCACTCATTAGCACTTGTTGCAAGGCTTCATCCTGTGACCAAGGACTAGCCTTTCCAACTATTTTTCTGTCTGCTCCAATCCGAGGGAACAGCTGCAGCCATGGCAGCGAAGGGTGAAGCCAGTAAACCAGGCTTTGCTGAAAGGCACAGCGCAGTTCTGTCGACAGTTTTGGTTCCTAGATATCAAAAAGTATTTTATGAGGACAGTACTTAAGGCAGCATTGCAAGTGATGGATTAAAAAAAAACATATTACATTAGATATTAAAATAAAAATCCCGGGCTTGTGAATAAGCCAGACTGAAGAAAAATGGACAACAACTGGCAACTGCTGCACAGCTGAAGTTAAGTGACTCACTTGTCACTGTTTGCCACGATAGGTACAACCCTTGGATGGAATTGGATTAGTAGTCTAAATGAGCCTTATTTCTTAATGCAAGACCAAACCAAAATGGAATCAAAAGCCTTCACTGCCAGCATGTTAAAGGAAAGGTCCAAAACTGCATCCTTCTTTCTAAAGCCAGAGCTTCAAGCTACCCTCTGAAGTATTACCTGTACGCTTTGTGGCAAGTTTGTTTCTGTAGCTCTACAATGCTGAGCAAATCCTTGAGCTTCCTCTTGTGCTTTTAAATGTTCTGCCCAAGTGAAAGGTTGGGAGGACATAAACAGAAGTCGTGTTTTAATACTCCAGTCTGCAGGAAATTCATCTCTTGGCAAGGAGGGAACTTTGGGTACAGCAACAGGTAAATGAAGGTCCTTACAAAACAGAAATAGCATCAGTTAAGCCACAGAAAATTAAACAAAAAAAACCAAAACACAAACCCTGTGTAGCTACCTTTTTATATTTTAGCATGGTTAGGTCTCCTCTCATGTTCATTTAGTGTAACTTTCCTGGCAGGCAGACCAGATACTGGACTACAACTATTAGATGTAACACCTTGAGTTTAGTAGCCTATAAAAAGACAAGTTAAACCTGTCGTCTCCTGCATGTTTTTGTCCAGTTCGGTGCAACAGCAAAAATGCCTAGCTCATTTAGGATCGTAAGGAAGTACCTGCATTATGTTAAGAGACATAGTTAAAAAAAAAGCTTTTGGACATTTTCTAGATTCCAGGTTCCACCGAGTTTGACTGTCCATAGGCTAACCAAAGTCACAGTTTATATTGAACTGATTATTTTAGTCAGTAACAGATTCTAATAGAAATATGGCATCATATTGTTTATGAAAAAGCAGGAGAGGGTTTTTGTTCACAGAGGTCTTTCCAAAAGTCATAGACTAGGAACAGATAAAAGGATGAATGATTCAAAAAAAGAAAACTTAGCCTGAAGTTTATGACAAAAAGAATTTCCACATCAAAACAGCATTCATTTCAACCTCTCTTGGTGACTGTAATATATGTCACACGCTTCCTAGAGGATGCAAAAAAACACCACTGGGGAGCTCTAGGACAGTTTGTGCTCTTTGAGAGGTCATTTTTCTATTCCACTCAGTTGTTTTGAACTTGTTTCTGAACCTGTAACAACATTAGACATTATCTACTTGAAACTCTCTTCAAGGACTTGGCTTGCAGGTATTCTCTCTTTCCTATGTGCCTGGTGAAGTTGTGTTTATTCCCTTTCTGCAGCTGAATAAAAGACTGCAGAAGATATATCACTTTGAAGAACATCCTTACCTGAACAAAATAAGCCTAAGGAACAGGAGAATTACGGTCAACTTGGTAATAAAACTGGGAGCAGACAACAACCTCCGTCAACTAGAACAATAACAGTTAGTGATATCAGGGAGAAGGCTGGCTTTTAAGAGACCGTCACCGTAACAGTAAACTTCAAAGCAATTTCAGAAACTTTCCTGAACACTGACATTTTAGTACATCATCTTAGAGAGAGATGGACCATCAGATATGAAGTTAAACAGTGTCAGCCTTTTTTCTTAACTGAGAACAGCTGGAAATGTTTCAGGAGCAGCATGCATAGTTTCGTACCTCCGTTAGGGCGAGGATGTCGGTTCTTTCAGAGGGCTCTGCTCTCCTGGCAGGCTTATCTTCACAAACAGGCTCTAAAAGCTGAATGAAAAAAAAAAAACACAGCGTAAGATACAGCACAGCTCATTAAAAAAACGCCCCTTGCAGTGACATTTCAGGAGGGGTACTAAGCACATGACATCCACCCTTCGGTGCCATCGAAACAGCTTGGCTTCGATCTATGCCCAAGGCCGAGGCTGGCTTTCTGAGGGGGTGCGGGCGCCGGGCCGGGGCTGCCGCGCCCGGCTGGGGGCAATGGTGCCGCCCGCGGGG